AACCAGGCCATTTCAGGACTAACACGTGGTTGAATCATACTCCTCGCAGTGTTTTATCTGATTAAACCTAATCTCACTCAACACTGCTGTAATGAAAGCAAATTTCTGTTCCAAATTATGACTGGTCACTAGTCCGATTTTATTTAATTTACAATAATGCCCCTTTAAAGTGTGTGTGTGTGTGGGGGGGGGGGGCTGGCTGTGAGGTTAGAGAGAGAGAGAGAGAGAGAAATGGGGTTTAACGTCCACTCGACACAAACTAGGCCATTTCAGGACTAATACATGGTTGAATCATACTCCTCGCAGTGTTTTATTTGATTAAACTTAATCTCACTCAACACTGCTGTAATGAAAGCAAATTTCTGTTCCAAATTATGACTGGTCAATAGTCCGATTTTATTTAATTTCCAATAATGCCCCTTTAAAGTGTGTGTGTGTGTGTGGGGGGGGGGGGGCTGGCAGTGAGGTTAGATAAAGAGAGAGGGAGGTGTAACGTCTACTCGACACAAATTAGGTAATTTCGGGACTAACACATGGCGAATAGCAGAATATTGCAGAAAAGCTAATTGCGTGGCAAACGAGGCTCTATCAAAACGGCTACAATGTAAACAATACTGTTTGGAGACGAACAACACTTTCGCTGTTTTTAGTATATGTACCTTAAATCACTGTCCAAAGTTTTAGGGAAGACCCCAGATTAAACGATGGGTTGTCATGTTGCTGTACTTAGGAGATATTTTATTGAATGGGGAGAACAGACACCCTTCCTCAAAAACTCTAGTATCAGAAGTCAATCCAGCAATGGCCAGAGAGGGATTTCTCGGGCCATTGTTTCAAGAATATGGTGTAGAATATGCATATCTATAACACATATTTCCTGGTCGGTCACCTTTTGCAATACTTTATGCGCTAGTGAGAAAAACGCTCTGTCGCTTCTTCTCGGTAATTAGGAGTATCGGAACCTGTCCATGTAAACGTTCTCACAGATTACACGCTGGTGGCCTGTATTCCTAGAAAGAAACAATGCTAATTGAGTGGCTTCTGGAAGTCGATGCTCATTCGATTTCCAGTTTACACGATGATGCAATACGTCCTTAATGAAGAGCTGCTACTAAAGTTGTTAATCCTAGAAGAAACTAGCTTAGCTGCATAGAATTTAATTGATGTCAAATATTGGAATATCCGACTAGTATTCGAATACAGGAGTTCTGCAATCTAATATTCGGTCAGAACACTATAGTGTATTCTTAATAAATTTAGTCTAGAGTCTGGTCATAATATACGACTATAATTTCATTGTGGCAGTACATGCCGTTCGTTATTCGCGTAATGTAAACACTCTACTATGTAGTTCTTCATAGATTTTTGCTAGGATTGTTTTGGTAATCATGATGGGGAACCGTAACAAATTTCAGAGTCGAACATAAGTTCTATGCAGAGTTATTGCCCAGTCACTTTGGCTTAGGTTTTTTGAGAATTTGTTTTCAAACTTTTTGACTTAAGAGAGAGAGAGAAATGGGGTTTAACGTCCACTCGACACAAACTAGGTCTATCGCTAAAATCTTGGTTCAGAGTAGATCAATTTGACTGAAATTTCCTTTAGATTATGGGGGGTTGGATGGCTGAATGGGTAGCGTGCGCGCGCTGTATCATAAAGTCTGTCATTGAGTCGACTGGTGTGGTTTCGAATCCCCGGTTGTATGTGGCAAGGAGTAGGGTCGCCTGTCCAACCTTGTGGGTTTTCTCCGGGTCCTCCCACTGCTAAAGACCCCTACGTGCAAGCGAATTATGTAAATAAAATCAAACCATATGTTAGTCCCGAAATGACCTAGTTTGTGTCGAGTGGACGTTAAACCACATTTCTCTCTCTCTCCCTTTAGATTATCTAGTTTTTAACTATTATTGTGAGAACTGCCAGCTCTTAATCTAATCTCCCATAGTGTATCTTTAAAAAAATGATTCTTTTCTTTTGCATGTTGATGCTTCTAAAAATGGAAATAATAGGGAGTAAGTATGAATTTTACATCTTATTCACATTGGTGCGCAGCGTTTTTCTTAGCTCACTGTCTATGAATAAAATACATGCAATCATACGTTTGGGGCATTATCCATCCCAGTCCCACCAAATCCAGAAACTCAATTCTCTTGTGAAAACCAGGTTTTAAGAATGGCCACGATACATAATATTAATCCATATTTCCACTGGCTTCTTGATTCAGTCTAAATCAGTTGTTGTAAAGAGAGCACACTTTATAGTTGATGCAAAGTTGGGTGTGAGTGGAGTTTGGGGATTTTTTTAAAATGTATTTGGAGACTATATATATCCCAAGGATAGCTTGAAGATCACACAGTATATTAGATTAATTTTTTTCAGACCTGTTCTCTGTGTGGATATCTTGACTACCAAAAGGGTTGCTGCTTTGGATACCATACTGGCTGATTTCCAGGAATAGAGTTTCTCCTTACCAAAACTATTACTTGCCCAACCCTATGTTATAAAGATGTACTACTAAATCTTGCAATAAAATAACTACATGTTAATCATTGAACTCAGTCAAGACATTCATCTAATGAACATCAATTTTAAACATTCTACCTCAATTAAAAGCAGAGTTATGTTCCAAAGTCTTGGCCAATCAAATTGCTTATCGCTACTTAGTCTAAGCAGAGAATTCTCATTATCGAACTTAGTCAAGGTATTGATATAATTAATCTTTACCCTGAGTTTCATCGCTCTCTCCCAAAAAGAACCAATATTATCATGTTTCAAATTCTAAACCAATCAAATTGCTTATCTCTCACTTAATTAGAACTAAAGTTTTCGTGTCCCAAAGCATCAACCAATCAAATTGCTTATCTCTGCTTACCCTAAGCAAAAAATGCTCATCTTTGAACTCCATCAATGCATTGACCTAATGAACGCCTACGCAAAGTGTAAACATTCTTCCTCAATTAGGAGAGTTAATGTGTTCCAAGAGGTCTCTACTTTGCCTAAGCATGAAATGCTCAGCATCAATCTTTGTTAAAGTATTGATGTAATGAAACTATACACAAAGTTTCACCACTATCAGTCAACTAGAATCAAAGTTGTTAAGCTCCATAGTCTCGACCAATCAAATTGCCTATTACTCTGCTTACCTTACGCAGAACATGTTCATCTTTGAACTCCATCACGGCATTCATCTAATGAACACTTACACAAGGTTTGAACATTCTAGCTCAATTAGAAGGAGAGTTATTGTGTTCTAAAGTCTCAACCAATCAAATTGCTTAATAATTGTGTTAATTGTGTTAATAAACACCTACACAAAGTTTGAAAATTCTATCTCAATTATAAAGATAGTTATTGTGTCCTATAAAGTATGACGAACGGATGGACAGGCAGATTTTAATAGTTCTCTGTAGTGCTTTCTTTGAAAGGCTGGGGACAAAAAAGAAAATCACTTAAAAGTGTACCAAATAGCACACTGTATGGCGTATGCCCGTCTTTTATTAGCCCAGTAAGACGGTAAACCCCATTTCATTTGAACAAATATAGTAGGTTTAAAAAGTAGGTCATAGGTACACTATAACAGAGCATTCCACATTCCTGTTTTGATTGATATGGTACTTTTTAAAATGAAGAGAATGAAATATGAAATGGCTGTAATATGACAAGAGGCAAAGAAGGCTAGGCATTGGGTTTGTTTTGCCAAATTTACACCGCCCCAGGGGGTCGGGACATGCACCAAAATAAATAGTTGCTATCCTTATATTCTTACAGTATAAGGAATAAATATGCCAAGCTTCAAGATCATCCATATCGAATTCCAGTTTGTAGACAAAAAATACAACAACTGGGCATGGCTGTCCCTGGGGGTTGGACACGGACCAATATATATAGGTACAACCCTATGCTGGATCATTCCGAACTGTGTCCAAATCTGTTAATAATTGCAACCTGTATATTATTTACAGACAAAAAGTGGGTGTGGCACTGCCAAAGGGGGGGGGGGGGATCGTGCACCAACATCAATAGTTGCCGTCCTTAAGGTATAAGGACTAAGTATACCAAGTTCCAAGATAATCCATTCAGAATTGTGGCCTTCTGGCACTAAAGGCAAAAATTGGCCGTGGCTCTGCCCATGGGGGTCCGGGCATGCACCAAAGTCAATAGTTGACGCCCTTAAGCTATAAGAATACATATGCCAAGTACCAAGCTGATCCATTCAGAATTGCGGCCTGTATACGATAAACACAAAAATTGGGCGTGGCTCTGCCCCTGGAGTCGGAACATGCAGTTGTCTTGAGGCTATAAGGAATACATAAACATATCCCAAGTTCCAAGACGATCCATTAAGAATCGTGGCCTGTAGGCAACACACAGAGGCCCAAAGAAAAAATGGGTGGGGTCTGGCAATCATCAAAAAATGAAATGGGTCATCCTTAGGGTATAAGGAATAGGTATGCAACGTTTCTAAAGGATCTGTTAAGAATTTCGGCCACACTCAAAAATTGGGCCTGGCTCTGTCCCAGGGGGTAGGGCAGGCACCAAATACAATAGGAATCATCCTTAAGGTATAAAGAATAAGTATGTAAAGTTTCAAGACGATCACTTAAGAATTGTGGCCTGCAGGCGACGGCAATATACGTCCACATTATGAATGAGGGGGAGGTCGGGTGTCCATCCAGAATTTCCGGCGTGGTTCCCCCCTTGTCTGTGGTGCAGAACGGAGGGCTGACAAGGACAGCTGTCTAGTCGTTTGGATGGGACAAAACAACAAGGTCCCGTGTACACATTGGCGTGCACGTAAAAGATCCCTTGACAGTTGGAATATGATATGAGTAGGCCTTGGTGCCGCTGTCTGGGCAAAATTTCCCTCATAGGACACTGTATGGCGTGTTCCCGTCTTCCTTAGCCCAGTTTTAAGCAGAACAGTAGGACGGTTAAACACCATTTCATTTCATTTCATTATGAATGTGGACGTATAAAAAACTAAGACTAGTATAACAAATACAAATTAAACAGAAAAATGTTTAAAAATGTTGGTCACTGACAATGTTAGGTGCAAACCAAATCAGGCCAGTTCATACAATTATCTGACCATATTTTATATTATGCAACAAAATTAATAGGAAATAAAAAGGTTTTTCTTTCCTTTCGCTTTTAAATCTTAATCACACAGGAACACTGATTTTCTCCACTGAACTTATTCAGAATACATATGTAATTTTGTATTTTATAAAAAATATTTTCTGTCATTGCATTGAACATTGATCAAGTTATATTAAAATCACACCTCTGCTACTTCTTTGAGATCCTGTTTTAAAATAGTGTCCATTCCTTCAAATAAGAAATAGCCAGTGAATTTTTTATCACTTAGTAATAAAGGAAACCAAAGTTTATCATCTGCCCACATTTTATCAAATGGAATACTATCAATATCATACCACCTGGGTCGCATTTCTGAAAGGAAAATATATGTATATATTTAAGGCACATTCAATAACAAAATCAACACAGTGGATGGATATCTAAATGATCTATTGTGGAGATTTTTTGTTTGTCCTAAACTACAGAATTTTAATGATGCTTGGAAAAAATCTAAATATAATTTATTACAATTTGGTATATAACATTACCCAAATAAGACCTAACAAAATGAACCAGGAATCAACCATCAGCCATCTTGGATCAAAAATCGAAGTCAGATAATTATCGAAGTGCCATTGTCCAAAGAACAAACATGTCCAGTTTCATGTCAATTGTATGAATTTGTGGACCCTCAGGCTTTTTGAAAGAACAATGCACAAGATTACCAAGTCATATGGAACTGTTTCTGGATCGAAAATTAAAGTATTGTGTTTTCCCATTAATTTTCATATAAACTTAACATACATGACAAACTTCAAACTTTTGTGGCAACTGATGAGGTCCTGATATGTGGGATTTAATGCAGATTTAACTCATTGAATTTACATGCAGTCCTGAACTGTGGAATTTTAATATAGCTTCTAGTATTTAGTGCCCATGGCCCACACAAACATTTTAAAGTAATATCAATTTATTTACCACTACAGATATTTTATATCTTACACAATAAACACTTTACTACTTGCATATTAATGGGAAGGTGTGGTTGGGACAGAAGTAAGAAATTATGAGTAAAGCATTACCTGATGTTTCTATTGGTTCACAAGTAACCTCTGTGGTAGAAAATACATGAACTTCTAATATCTGTGGATCTCCAGTAAATTCAAACTTCAACAAAGCAACATTAGATAAACTATCCGGAGATGCTATTAAACCAGATTCTTCTTCTAATTCTCTAAAATATAACAAATTATAATATTCTATTAATCATTTTATCACAGATATCTAAGGTTCAATCCCTGCAGAAAAAGTTCTAGAGATAGATGGATAATGGTTGGGTGGGGGAGATTGAGGTGCAGCTCGGGGGAGGTCAGATAGACCTTTCAGAAGTTCAGAATATTGATTGCATTAAAGTATTTGATATTTACAGCATGGCAAAAGTTATAAAAAGATGATATTCACCTTAACACCATATAATTTTCCTTGCAAGGCTATTACATATATGGAGTTGTGAGCATTTTTGTGCGAAAAGATACAGAACAAGGATTTTGGACTTGCAGGTTGTAAATCACCCTCTCCTTGGAAACAAGTTGTCAAAAATTAAATTTTACACATTTAATTAATTGCACATTTATCTTGTTGTAATGCATCTGCAATCACACATAGCCTAAGTAGAAAATGCTCATGATTTAACGTAGTCAAATAAGGTATTAAGGCAATGAAACTATACACTGAGTTTGACCATTCAATTAGAATCAAAGTTATCCACTCGTCCTGTTAGTGTAATAATGGCAGCTTTGTTAATATTGTCAAAAGGGTGTCCCTTGGAGTGTCTCAAAAGATAGGTTTTTGGTTACAAAATGTTTTCTTTTGGCAGGTTAGAAATATTTTCCAATCAATGTTTATTGTCATGAGGACTGTGGGAGAGATATTTTTAAAAATTAGAACAGACATATTTTATCTACACTGTTAAAGAAAAAATAAAATGTAATAGGCCTACCTTACAGCAGCTTCAACAATTGTTTCACCCTTTTCAACTTTACCACCAAATCCATTCCATTTACCCATACCAAATCCCCTTTTCTTGTAACCTAATAAAATCTTGCATTGCTTTCTCACAAAGACTAGAGTTAACAGTTTATTAGCAACCATTCTGAGGAGGTTAACCTACCTGAAAATTAAAAACTGAAAAAAAAAAATATATATTCTAGCCTAATATTAAAGATTATTACAAATTAAAATTTAAAGAACTGGGCAATCAAATCTAACCTATGCCCACAAAACCCTGGTCAAATTGTTATTTGTTATTATGAAATGTCGCCTTCTTTTCGAAACGGGTGCAAAGACAATGGGTCAGTGTTGGCATTACCGTACATTAACTTGATTGAATGATTGTGATAAATCTGTACCAGAACATATACGTTTTACAGAGATTAGTATAGTAAGTAACAACTAATCTTATTCGTAAAAAGGGTTCAGTTGCGCACATTACAATTATCCCTCTTCAATGGGGACTTGAAACAACAATTAAGTTCAACTCTTAAGTCATGATAATATATATACAGGCTTATAAAAAAAAAAAAAATAACAGTGACACACACGTCAGAAACTGTGGCCTGGGCAAATTGTTACTTGTTATTGTGCAATTCCGCCTTCTTTTCGAAAAAAAAACCTTCCCGGTGAAAAGATTTATTTCACAGCAATAAAGGAACATAAATCTTTCAATTTTGAAAAGTGTTTATTTATCAGGACTAACGGGTACAGGCAACGTGGGCGACAAAAATTTTAAAATATTTACATAAAACAATGTGGTTGGGCTTTCGCGCCACCTTATAAACGTTACTCTAACCATGAAGAGCTGCCATCACGTGACAATTACCGGTGATTCGACGCAATAAACGCATCCTGTTCTCAGAGGAAGTGGAAATTTAGGATGCCGTTACCGCTTCAGCAAGGGGCTTTGCAGGTATTTGTTTGTAAATTAATAGTCATTAGTTAGTAAATTGTATAATCTGCTGTTGTTAGAAGTGTTTTATTTCCTTTTGATAAAAGTTAATGTATGATTGATCTTATAGTACGAAAATGTTGTCAAGTGAAGGTGCTTGTCATGACATCATTCATTCGTGGTTATGGCGGAAAACGTGCTGAGTTATCCCATTTATATGTTGTAGGAGCATCAGATTAACCGGTTCAAGGTCTTTTTATTTTTGACAGATTTTAATCTTGACCATCAGAAATTAAGTTGATTGATAATCAAACTTAAAGTTCATGACGATGGGTCATCAAAAACATGTTGAAGGGTTTCCCAGATGTCCGTTCACCTGAACTGACGACAGTCGCAGTTGACAGTTTCACTTTCAAGTTTCAGAAGTAAATATGGTTTAACAACAGCAACTATAGATAATGATCAGTCTGTTGCAGCCAGTCCCGTCTCTACATTCGTTGAAAGTCGATATTTTGTCTTTATTTAGGCCTATAAATAATTGTATTTTTTATTTACTTCCCATCCAAACTGCATCAAGATCAAGCAAATAATATTATGTTACTTCATGTGATTGATGCAAAACCAGCATGGTTTTCTCTTACATTAATAACCGCAAGACCTGATAATAAGTGGAAGTCTGTGATGCCTTTTGAAATGCATTATATTTTATCATTTTGAATAAGAAATGTAAATTGCAATATCTAATAGAGTATTGGCAAAGGCAATATCATATTTGTATGTACTAATGATTCATAGCCGTAATATTTGCTTTGTTCCTACTCCCAATTAGAAAATAAACAAAATATGTTTCATTTTTATAGCCAGCAGCTGAGCCTATGCAAGTTGATGCCCAACCAGAGGAAAATGACAATACAGAGGAATCACAGAATTTTAATGTGGAAAATCCAACTATTGTAAGTTCATTGAGTGATCTTAAAGACTTGAGGTGTTTTTACGAGAAACCGATTATGGCTAATCGATTTGCAATTCCTGTTCAAACATATTTACGACAAAAATTAGCCTAATCGGTTTCACTTAATTGTCGTATTTACCACAACGATTTGTCAAATTGATTATGCAAATCTTCCAACTTGCTCGCCTGCCAGATCGACGAAATCGATTTCTAAGATGGTGTCCCCAACAAGGGACATGACATGTGCCTGACGTTAGTTCATTTTCTTTTGTATTTCACGTTAATATCATGGGCATTCCTAGGGGTGATGATTTTCCGTTTCAGAAAATAGCAAATTCCGTTTTAAGTATTTTTAATTCCGTTATTTTCCGTTTCAGAGCTGACCTTATTCCGTTTTTTCGAGATAAAATGTTATTTTATGAATAAATGAATAAAACATCTTAAAATGCCTTTTATTACAAAACGGATCATTTTAAACCAATGATAACAAATGTTGAATTGTGAATGACTTGTAATGTTCAATGACTAGTTATTCTTTAAACCTGTTTCCCGAATTAAATAACAGAAAATTACATCTTGTGAGCTCGTTTCATCTTTTTAGCAGACGAAGCCATTTTTCTCAGCTGCTAGCTGTAGTCGCGATTTATCCAGACATCTTCGTAGTTACTACCGTTTCTTCGAGAATAAGGGCTGGATTCACAAGGCTACGGTATATTTCTGATGTCACGTGGTTAATGCGGATAAACACGAGTCACGAGCCCGGCAGTAAAATAAGAAGTAAATGAAACGATTTTTACTTTTATGAAGTGACAGAAGTTTTTTTAAAGACATATATATACATTACAATGTTTAATTCAAGTTAAACTACAGAGTAATTTTATAATGGGATACATGAAAGACGGGTTTTCGTTTCGATTAAAATTATGATTCCTAAATGATGAAATGAAAGTAGCGAAATACTAAAATAGACAGTAACAAAACCACGCGATATCATTCAATATTTCCGATTTTTATGAATAAAAAGATGAAATACTTGGATAACTGCAAAATTATTTTGAGTTTGTGTTTAGTATCAGCAAATATCGGCTTTTCCGTCTTTTTCCGTGTGAGATTTCAAATTCCGTTTTGAGTGGACAATTCCGCGATTTCCGCGTTTTTTCCGCGATCACGGAAAATCATCACCCCTACATTCCTAATACAAATACAGGGCATTTGGGCACAGTCAACTGGTACAACTTCTCGTTTTTATTTATTCTTGGACTGTGTCTTCAAGAACAAATAAAGAAAAATGAATTTTTTAACATTTTTCCTCAATTCGTCAGACTTCATCTATCTTTCGAGACAACTCGTCACGTTTACGAGAACCGATTTGAATACCAACTCGAGATCTGCGACCTTTAAAAAACGAGATAGGTAATCGAAACCGATTTGTTTTCTCGTAAAAAGGCCTCTGGTATAAACCAGTGATGGGATTTAAAAAAACTGTGTTTAATAAAAATCTACAGGTGATGATCATGTGATCTAATGGAACTTATTTATGTAGGTCAGGCCTAGTGCAGATATCAAGTATCGATGCAGCGCTGATGCTGATGGGATTTTCAACCCTTTTTTGTATTATCGATGCATCTGCAAAAAATACTAATAATTAGTTTTATGTTATGTGTCCAAGGAGTTCACAAGTTCGTCCACTAGAATAAATAACACCTGACAATTAATTAACCACGGCCTTACTTAATATAAAACAAACATATATTTTGTTTTAGAGTCATGCTGAATAATTTTCCAATTATACAATATATTATAGACAAACTATTTGGATTGATTAAGAATCTTATGAAATTACTTAAAAGAAAATACAGTTGATTAAATATACTTTCAATTCATTTTTCAAGTCATACAGTGAAAACATTAGTTTTTGGGTCACCACTACTTGTTACTTGAAAATTTGCCTTGATGCTATCATTTATAGAAATAACAATTCATACACAAATATCTATTATAGTGAATCAAGGATTATTTTGAGATTGGTTTTGTAGGCTCTTCATGGCAGAAAATAATGTTATCTTTTTAATTTCTATGTGAAAAATGTAGTGATGGTCCGACATGGCACTTGTCTGCGAAATATATCAGCCGATACAGATACAATTACCGATAGTGGTGGATATAAAACTATTACACATTAAAATGCCTCGAAAGGTATGATAATCTATGTAGATATTTGTCATTGTTGGTTGGTAAACACATGGTATGCTACTATTTTACCTCCGGGGGTGGGGGGGGGGGTCGATACTGATTTCTCCCTGTAGGCCACTTATCAGCCAATTACCGATGTTCAAACAGATTATTGGACCATCACTAGAAAAATGTTTTTTATTTATATAGTCATAAAGTAATGGGTAATGGTAATTCATTACTTTCAATGTAATGGGTACCTGGTAATGGTAATTAATTACATTGCTAAAAATGAGAAAGTAATTGTAATGATTACATATAAAATTTCAAGGTTCATTTAAATCCCAAATCTAATGTACATTCCATGGCCAAACAAACTATGTCAGGGGAATAATATTTCCCGGACGTTTTTTAACGCTAGTATTAAAAAAATTAGTCTAGAGAATGTACTTCATAAATCCCTATAGACAGGCTTTGATACGATTTGTATAATGCAAACTGTCTCTTGTAAATCACCTTACACACCTGTCAGGCCTTCACAACAAATTTGAACAATGGCTAAAGAGTGTCAATTGAAGTGAATCAGATGATATTGATGTCATAATAAGTAACAGAAGAGTATTGTGGAAATATTTTTTATTCAAATAAATCAACATTTTTATAATAATGATAATGTTAGGGAAATCTTATGTTTCTATCAGAAATACTAATGTTATTTCTGTAATTTTTTAATAACAAAATGGCGGCAAAAAATTCCTGATGCATCGATGCTAGTATTGATGTTTGCGGCCATTGCATTGATGCGTAAAATTTTACTTGATATCAGCACTAGTCAGGACATGTTGCTTGTAATAGGAAACATATAATTTATTAAAGTGGTAATAACTTGTCAATGCAAGACAGCAATATTTGCCGTTCTTAATCAGCTTTAAAGCATATGCAGTTTAATTGAAAAATGTTTACATTTTGAGTGATATCCATGAATACTGACCATTGTTTGTCTTTTTATAAAGTCAGTTACTGGTACTGTAAACAATTTTGGTAGCTAACCAATTTAAGAATTAGAGTGTTAAAACTTGGTATTTTAGAAATGTGGATGTTTGTAAGATTCAACAAGTCTGTAGATGACCATAGTATAGTATGCTTTTAACTGCATTCTAAGGCTAGAGTGGTTTAGTTTTTATTCCCCATCATTTGAAGAAACCACAGAACTATTAAAATGTGTCTGCCTGCCACACTGAGTACACAATATGTATCTCTGCTTCTAATTAAGCTGTAGTCATAAGGATGTTAAGCTGTAGTTGTTCAGTCAGACTAAACAGAGATAAGCAGTTGCATTGGTCAAGACTTCGGGACACAATGACTGCTTCTAATGGAAGTTGAATGGTCAAACTTGGTGTAGATGATTATTACATGTGTCTGATGAAGGTCGACTAAGAAGACAGAAATGTTTTGATTAGAAACTAATCTTATCAACAATGCCTCTGTTCTTCTTGGTGAATTCATTATAACAAATTTCAGCTAGCTGGCTCGTATTACCACAACAATTTCAGCCAATGAAAAGCTTTCTCGTTGTCAGGTCAGTCATATATTACCGAACAGCAAAGGAAATAACGTTACAAAGATTTGAATATGAAACATTAATATACATTAAAAATGTGCTGATCCATGTATTCGGCATGTACAAATCGCCATTCTTATATAGTAATATTATCACAAATAGCATATTACGGACGTATGTAGGCCTATATATATTGATATGTTGGTTTTTTTTCCCGCATATTATTCAAGTGTGTAATTTTAACATAACTTAATTTCCAACACGACTTGCTTAACCAGACTGATATTTTAATCTTGACGAAATAGCTATAATAAGCCACTTCATGTGTCGAAAATGCCTTGACACTCGCTGAAAGTAAAAAAAGTTATTTTGCTCATGAACTTATTTACACAGTCTATTTTTGTGAAATTTTTATTTGGATAATGAATCGCGATACGACCAGTGATTGTATTGTGCATCGTGTATTTTTAAAACATCGCGGTTCATCGATTTATCGATGAATCGTTGCAGCCCTACTTATTTGTATTAGTAAATATCTCGTCAGAGTTCAGTGATGAACATTTTCTGCTCTGCCTAAGCAGAGAAAAATAATTTGATTGGCCTAGACTTAAGAACACTTTGACTTAGTTTGATGATGGACATTTTCTGCTTAAGTTATGCAGAATTAATAAACAGTTTGATTGCTACATGTACTGGTAGATGCACATAAAAAGAAAAAATTGCAAACAACTGGTGTCATCTATTTGTGTGTGTGTGTGTGTGTGTTGGGGGGGGGGGGTGACTGTTTGTTAACAATATTGCTACTTTTAAAAGAAAATTTTAAAGATGGTTTTGATGCATAAGACCATGTTCAGAAATGAGAAATAAATATTAACACAATATTCAGTAATTAATATGTTTATTCTCATTATTAGGATTTGGAACAATATGCTGGACAATACATTGGATTGGCCAGAATACACAGATTATTATTTATAGCCGATCATTGTCCTACTCTGAAGATTGAAGCTCTTAGAATGGCATTAGCATATTCCATGACCACATTTAATGCTAATTTGTACCAGGTTATCCAGAGAAAGACACATGAAGCAGTTTCAGCGTAAGTTTCCCATGGTTGATTATATTAAAAGATTTTATTGACATGTGTAAAAACATTTAAATTTGATTATGACAATTGAAATATTTTTCATTATTTTGTGTTAATAAATGTTCAAACCTGCTAATTTGGCGAATGACAGATTTTCAGTCCAGTATGTCCCGAATTGACAGAATTGCAATCGTGTGACACATAGTACAGTTCTGTCAGTCCAGATATTTTCTTATGCAGTCAGCACATGTGTTGTAGTTTGATATCTCCATTTTCACTTGATAGTCACTGCTTTAGGGATTAAAAGAATTCAGTTCCAGTACTGTCAATCAAGTGTATCCCATCAGCTACTTGTTAACTACTTTTGGTTCTTAATTAGCTGTATTTATCAAGTTCAGACACTAAGCACATTATACGGATAGTTTGAAATAATAAATGTTAAAACTTGGATGTCTTAACTCATTTCATTCACTGAACTAATAACAATTATTATTTGCATAGGTCTTCAAGTTTACCAGATGCTGTAGCTGGAGCCATTCATAATGCTCCAACTTTAGACACTCAATGGATTGAAACTACTGCTAAAAAGGCTGCTCTGAAGTTAGAGAAACTAGATACAGATTTAAAGAATTATAAAAGTAACTCAATCAAAGAAAGCATAAGGTAAGTAACGTAAATCAATCTGTTTATATGCATACCATATTGTATGGGGTAAAATTTGATCTTTTTTGGACCTTCGTATATAAGATGAAATTGAGTATAAGTTGAATCATTGCCAACTCCTCGCATCGCTGTCATGTTGTTGGCATTATTGTGCACATAATAAATGTTTGCTTACATTTATTTTATGTTACAGTTAAGACAATTTCTTAGTGTAAGGGTAATGAGTTTATTTTTGGCACTGTGATATTGTTTGACTGAATGATACATTGAATACACCAGCATGTATTTATTTACCTGATACTAGCGACCTGATATTAGTGATCTAATCTCAACTTTACAATATAGCAACCTTTTAAAGTCTTAATGCTAATCCAATTACTGGCATCTTTTTCATAGCTCATACTACTCTTTAAACTAATACATGCATTTAATATCTTTGCCCTGGAAATGATATATATATATATATATATATATAGTAATGGAAAATTGTGAGTTATGATATTTGGTTATTATTTTGTAGACGCGGACATGATGATTTAGGAGACCATTATTTGGATTGTGGTGATCTTAGTAATGCATTAAAGTGTTATTCAAGAGCTAGAGACTATTGTACTAACCCAAAACATGTAGTAAATATGTGTTTAAATGTTATAAAGGTAGGTGGCAATACTTGTGTGTTTTTGTGGAAGAGTTCAAATTTTGTGAAACTCGGATGAAACTGCCCAACACAAAATAGCCACTCCTTGTACGCAAATAGTGTAAAAGTATGTAATAATAAAGCTGTGGTACCTCTAGAGGTCACAATTTTTGTCTGATTTTGATGAAACTTGAAATATACTGTATGTTTATATCCCAAAGACTGGATTATGGCCCCTGATTGTTGTTTGCTTGTTCTCTGTCTATCTCTTGCAAAATGTGGGCGTATGTTGCATGGCAATGATGGCATCCACGTGTTTTTAAATGTTTATAATAATGACTTGTTTGTTTTATTCTCTATAAATGGATAAATAGATGATTAGTTTTAGTTGATTGTTATTATATAATGTATATTACAGGTTAGCGTATATCTACAAAATTGGTCCCATGTACAAAGTTATGTAAATAAAGCTGAAGCTACACCTGAAGCCAATGAGGTATATTATTATTTACTAATCATTAGTCTATGTAATGATATATTGAGATCTGATGAAAATGCACCACTGATTAGACTGTAAGCATTGTGCAGCTGTAATGTGGTTTTTGCAGTTGAAATTCAATGAAAATTAGACAGAAATGCTGCGGTCATGGCTAAATTTGTCTCGTAGCACATGAGGGTCCTCATTAACCCCTTTGGTGCTGAAAGGGTAGGACATTTTTCGATCATATATGTTATCGTTGTGATCTGATGTTACATTGAGAATTGCAAGATTCAAGTGTATCTCTTGGACAAAATTTACAATCATCCATTTATAGAATAGCTACGTTTTCATTGTGTCTCAGTATATTTATTGTTCGATACGTTGCTGTGTTTTGCTTTGTGGCAAATGGCCTTTTATCATGAATGACTGAATGTAATTTTTGCATATCTCAAACTAATTTGTTTATTGATACAAAAGTTGTCACTCAGTGTTTTCGAAATTTTACTCCCATAATAAAATCTTTATGATAATTAATTTATAAGAGAAAAATCCAATATTGTGTTATTTTTACCCTCCAATTGAAAACAAAGTCAACACGTAAGATGCTTTTAGATGTTGATTTTTTCATTAACAGCCTGGTAAAGATAGTGGGCAGACAGTACAGAGTAAATTAAAATGTGCAGCAGGGTTGGCGGAATTAGCAACAAAAAAATTTAAATCAGCAGCCAAGTATTTTCTTCAGTCTAGTTTTGATCACTGTGATTTTCCAGAGGTAGGTATTGCTTGAATATTGTTGACCATGTAGTCTATGTTCACCCAAGAATACCAGTAAGTTTTGGGTAATACACGAGCATGGAAATGGCACATTTTTCTGAAATATCATAATCAAATACGAAATATGGATGTTCAGCATTCGTTTTGAACATCCAGTTAGCTTGGAATTCAAATTCATAGACGTATTGTACCAAGCTTTCTTGCATTATTCAGACTCCTGATCTTAATTATTTGTAAATGGTTTATTGTATAACAATTAGGTTTTTTTTTCAGCTATACACAAATGAGACCAAATATACTCTCTTTTTCAGCTTATTTCACCTAGCAATATTACTATGTATGGTGCCCTTTGTGCTTTAGCAACATTTGATAGACAAGAATTACAGAAAAATGTTATAGCTAGCAGGTAAGATTAATAAAATATTGGTACTTTTTACAGTCCTTATCTACAATGTCAGATATTTGGATCCTTTGAGCTTGGTTTACTTTGTCAAATTTTCAATTTGCTTCACTGCTTTTTGTTGTCCATTGGTGAACATTTTTTCCTTTGAAACTTAATGTATTCTCTGCTGACTTTGACTCATTGACCCATAGACTTAATTAATTATCTACTCCTGTCTCTCCCTAAGCTAATTAACTAGACAATAGCTTATCTCCCTGGAGCTAATGAAAGGATTATCCATTAATCCAATATATTGCAGAGAACACAAAATAACACACAAACTATTATTCCAGTCAAAAAATGTTCACATATTCAAATGAAGATATATAATTAGCCATCAAAATGGTCCAACTTTTAAGCACTAATACAAAGTACCAACAAAGTTATTCTTTATTTAAAATCAACCATGTTTAGCACACGCACATTGTACAACAGGCCATAGCATGCAGCTGTAGGCATTCGTGTAATTGACGATCAAAATGTGCATGATTTACTACATACAATGAACAAATTAAAACTATTTTTATCCTCATTTAAATGTCCTAAAAATGTTGACAAAAATCACTTAATTTAACTTAGTTTGCTGAACATAGTCGGTATTGCGTCGACCACGGGCTGACATTTTGATTCTTTTTCGTAGCAAGTCGTATCTGGGTCATCTTCTCTGTTTAAAATAGCGGAAAAAACACTTTCCCGAACACTATTGAGATTAATATTCACATCTTAAATACCCTTTGATAAAAATCCTACAAATTCTGATTCGGAATCTCTTTCCATAGCAAAGAAATTATTAAAGAGTGAACGCCAAGATAATACAATTCAATGAAGAGTGGCTGCCGTTTTTGGTACACCGTATATAACAGATCTTCTTCTGTTTCAAATCTCAGAAAAATCACATTCCCCTTGACAATTGTCATTACTGAGATTAATATTCACATGTAAATATCCTTTGATGAAATTCCTTCAAATTCTGAATCTGAATCAATTTCCATAGTGAAGAAATTATTGGATGAACGAGCTTGAAAATATTAAACTTGTGTACAAAATGGCGTCCTATGACCGAATTTTCTCGAGAGTTCACGACCTTATAACCCCTAAACCATTGATGTGACGTATAGGTTTTATGATTTCAATCATTAGTTCAATATATACCCTTATTGGATAACTACTTTTGGAAAGCTGATAGTCTTTTTTATAACTTTATTGATCAATAAAACAGTACATAAAAAAGGCTGACAGCAGTCTTTGATGGGCAAATTGTCTCGAGAGTTTACAACCTTTATAACCCCATAACCTTTGATGTGACCTACAATTTTATGATTCCAGTAATTAGTTCAAACTATATTTATATTATTGGATAACTACTTTTGGGAAGCCAATTTGCCTTTTTTGATAACTTTCTTGATCAATAAAACTTTACACCAAAGAGGCCGACAACAATCTGGCGAACATAGGACCGAATGAGTTAACATATTAATTGTGATTTATTAACCCTTAGGTGTTTATTTTCCATTCCATAAATCTGTTGGTTATATGAACTAATGTGTATTTTATTTTTCAGTTCTTTCAAACAATTTCTAGAATTAGAACCTCAACTCAGAGATATTCTTCATAGATTCCATGAATCCAAATATGCTTCCTGTTTAAAATCGTTGGAAGAAATCAAAGTAGGTATATAATTTGACTATGATCTGTTTTGTTCAGTACAATTCAATGAAAGCACAGAATGTTTAATTGTCAAGATATTGCTATTTGACAAGTTACTTGGAAATGACACAAATCGGGCAAAACCGTAAATTGATCAAAATAATCCATCAGTACGAATTAATCTGCTACTGTCAAAATGCTCCCCAAAACAAGATGTGTTCTTCCTTACACACAGTACTTCAGTTTCTTTCTTTATATAAACAGATACAAGCAAAACATTTTTAGTCTGGGATTCTGACCTTTTAAATCAACATTTAATTACCTAAAAAGCAAAGCGGGGTGGGGGTGTGGTCAATGGTTTAACATGTGCACATTAGATCATGAGATCATTGAGTCAAATGGTGTGGTTTTGATTCCCTGCTTGTATGTGACAAGGAGTAAGGTCACCTGTCCAACCTTGGGGGTAGGGGGGGCATTGGGTCATGTGGTGTCCTCCCGCAGTTAATGAATTATACACATGTGATTTCTTAAAATAAAATTTAACCATATGTTAGTCCTGAAATGACCTAGTTTGTGTCGAATGGACCTAAAAAAAGGGGGTGCAACTTTTAATAAATATTTGAACAAAATGGATTTTAACCCTTGTGGTCCTTTTGTCCTAAAGTTAAATATACAAATTTGTTTAGGAAACACTATATTCGTTTAAAAAGGATGATAATTATATAAAATGTTTCGTTTTACAGGATAACTTATTATTAGATATGTACCTAGCACCACATATAAATATTTTATATGCACAGATTAGAAATAGAGCACTTTGTCAAGTAAGTGTCAATTTATTTATTTTCTAAAGACTTGTCAGTTGACGAACTTGCTTAGATGTTTATCTAATTTAAAAATTTAATGTAATTTGTTAAATCAATTAATGTACTATGTGTTTATAATAAGCCTCGATTTAGATACTGTAATACAAGCAATTAATTTGTGTTGAAATTTATGCCTTCAGAAGATGTATATTGAATTAATGTGACAAACTGTATCTGTTCTTGTGTCAAATGGAGGACTTATCCATTTTAACCAGTCCTTCACGTTTAAGGGGAGCTTTCACTCATGCTCCTCTCGACGCACGTCAGCTTTCCTTCGAAGGAGTCACTAAAGACTCCTGCAAATTAGCTAAATTGCTCTCCTAAATATTGAGATTAATAAACTACTTTCAGTTTTTGTTTACTTTTAAACTGCATATATTCAAGGTATCAGGAGCTTTTTATTGCTCCCGCACAATTTTATAAACATGAAGGACTGCTTATAAGTAAGACACTAAATAATGAGATTATTATGCTATAAATGTCATATTATAGTCGGTCATCTAATTAATATCTGTTTATTATTGTATATCTATGCAGAGTGTTTTGTTTGACAATATGACAGATTTAAGTTAGGAATGGACGATATTTGAAATGTTAATGTCTTTAACTTTAATGGCATAAACACGATGGAATAAGCTTGGGTTAGGTATTTGGGAAAGGTTTCATGATACATTGCAGGCCACGAAATTTCACGCGAACGATACCAATCGGTCACGTGCGGTCGCGCTAGCTCAAAAACACGCGGCCGATTTCCTGGTTACGCAAATTGAAATATCGGTTACGTTAACAAATTTCATTAACAGATTTATTCACATTTGATCAATTTTTATACAGGCTGACTTTCTGACACGGGTCTAAATTATTTGTATTATAGCACAAACTCCATTCATTCATTCTTGGCATTTCATTTCTCCATCTTACCGGTACTTTGACAGATCACGTATTTTGTCACCACGTAGGCTATTGACCAGTTGCAAGCACGTTGATTTAAAAATACCTCCCACCCCTAATTCTTTAAATGATTAGTTATGTCATAAATATTTGAAAGCGTACCTTTGGATTTTCGAACACAAAATGAGAAATGAGTTTGACTATTTAACATGTCGGCTATATTTCCAAAGAATTTACTACACGTTTTCCTTTCAGTTTTCACTATAGCCATGCTGTAGTACCAATGACCCGTATGTCGTCAACTTTGACCCCCTCCCCGGCATCGCTCGAGCGATAATGTAAACGATTTTACTGTCCTGTCTATTTTAATATTGGGGGGTTGGATGGCTGAATGGTTAGCGTGCTCGCGCTGTATCATAAAGGAGTAGGGTCGCCTGTCCAACCTCGTGGGTTTTCTCCGGGTCCTCCGGTTTCCTCCCACTGCTAAAGACCCCTACACGCAAGCGAATTATTGAAATAAAAATTAAACCATATGTTAGTCCTGAAATGACCTAGTTTGTGTCGAGTGGACATTAAACCCCATTTCTCTCTCTTTCTCTCTATTTTAATATTATTTCATGACATCAAACTATTCTGTTTCCTTTTGAGACTTTGTGTATAGAGTGCCGAGGTTTATAATAAATACTGTTTGTCAATCACTAGCTACCTATGAGTGAGGCTATCTCATGCTACGTGCTTGGATGAATAATTGCAAACGACAAGTGTAATATGAAGTACGCATGTAGTCTTCAGTGACCGAAAACAATGTGGTAGCTACCATTCCTGGTTTTTGAAGGTCAGATATGATATAAAAACGAAAATCCATTAGTAATTTTTGGAACTGATTCCCCTCATTATTAAAATATAGGGATTTAGTGAAGTGGAACATTTTTTTTCTAATGTTTTATTGTTTAAATGGGGACACCGTGGGATTAAAGTCATAAACACTTAACCTCAAAATATAATATTAAATATAAAAGAATAAAATTAGTTATGTTATTTCTTTAAAAAAATACATTCACTGCAAGTGGAAATGAATAATAGCACCATTTAAATCTGGATAAAACATGAAAACAGCGCAACCATTTTATGTAACCAATTGGTTACTCAATGGTCATCTGGCGTAACCAAAGAAAATGGTTACGCAAAGCATAAACCCGCAACCATTTTCCTGGTTACGCCAAAATTTGAAATTTCGTGGCCTGCATTGTAAGGTCAAGCTTAAATTATGTTTCAATAATATACAATAATCTTTCAGAGAATATAATTGGAGAAAGGTAGATAGGGTCAAATGATATATTGGATTATTGCAGTACTTTTAATCTTCAAAATATTATTGTCAATAATATTCACGTGAATTACTACATACTGATTTTATGATCAAGAACAAAAATGTATTCGGAGATTAAATACATACATGTATTTCTAGTATTTCAGTCCATATTTGTCGGCAGATATGCGAAAAATGGCATCTGCTTTTAATACAACATTACCTGCTCTAGAAGATGAACTAATGCAATTAATATTAGAGGGACAAATAAAAGCTCGTATTGACTCCCATAACAAGGTAAGTTCACCTGGAGTAATAGTAATAATACTACAGTGTTAATCAATAGGTGTCGGTAAAAACACCTCGCAATCAATTATAACACAAATCATCTTTACATGCTTCTGTTTTCCTTGCAGACAAATGGCCAATCATTCTGACCAGCTTTATACCCCCCTTGACCACCTAGACACCCCAGACAAGCTTCATGATACCCTGGAGTAAACATAATGAGAGAAATGACTAAAATACATCTTATAAAATCTGTTATCAAATATGTTTAGAATCAGATGAATTTATCTGAAATAGTTGGCACAGTAGATCTATTTACCACTAGATGAGGGTGAATGCAATGTCATATTACATGTCATTTCATTTTGTTTAGATTTTATATGCTAAAGATATAGATGAAAGAAGTACAACATTTGAGAAAGCTGTAGCAATGGGTAAAGAGTATCAACGAAGATCTAAGGTACAGTTATGGCAGATCTTGTTTTAGAATCTGTATAAAATCCTCATTATTTATATGCTTACAGTAGATTGATTATATAAACAGTACTTTAGAAAAGGAGCACTCAACTTTTCATGGGAAATAAAATCTAGATTTATTTACAGAACTCTTGCAAAAACGTGTGAAGGGATATCCACACAGAACATTAAAGATAGGTTGCCAGGTAGCCACAGCAGCTAAATTGTCCGGGCAGTCAACAAGACTTGTCGTATACTTTTTTTACTTTTGTCGGGAATGAAACATTTATAATACACTAAAATCTGATTTTAGAGTAACAACTCATTAAGTAATTATCAGAAAAGCATTAGAATTTGTTTGACTAATGCTTATGTTTTGTATACAAAACATTAAATATCATGGATTAAGCTGTTCAAATTATCAAAACCCATTGAAAATCAATATACCTTTTAGTTTCAAGACCTTAAACTCTGTGTATCAAGCCAAAGTCAATCGAAACGATTATATATAGGCGTAAACTCGGTGTATAAATATAAAATCAATCGGATGATAACTATGGTCATAAAGTATCCACAAAATTTTTCAAAGTGATCCAGTTTCATAACTCTGGCAGTAGTAATCGAAAATTGTTGAAAATCAGTAGGCTTCTTTGTCTCCTGACCTTATACACTGTGTATAAATTTAAAGTCAATCGGATATAAACTTCAGCCTCTAGAGTATCTACAAGATTTTTCAAAGTGATCAAGAGCCATAACCCGGGCAGTAATTATAGGAAATTGTTGAAAATCAATAGGATTCTTTGTCTCATGACCTTACTGTGTATAATTTAAAGTCAGTCGGATATTAACTTTAGCCTTGAGAGCGTTAACTCTGGCAGTTATTTTTGGAAATTAATAGGCTTCTCCATCTCATGACCTTAAACACTGTGTATAAATTTAAAGTCAATCGGATATTAACTTTAGCCTCAAGAACTTCCACAAGCAATTGTGGATGACGGACCAACAGACGGACAGGGGCGACGACAATATATGACCACATTTCACCTGAGCCTCTTGTGCAAGGAACCAAGTCAAACTGGATACCGAGTCAAACGGCGACATGGTTCCACATTCAGTTGGTTAGTACTGAATGATCTAGGTGAATTGACGTATAAATGCCTTGTTTATGTGCCTTGTTAATTACCTTTTGCCAATGAGAAATGATAAGATTATTTTATAATTAGTAAATCATGTTTATTTTATTGTCCCCCGCCTTTAGAAGAAAGCAGGGGACTATTAAAATGGGTTCGTCTGTCCGTCCATCTGTCCTTCACACTTTTCGGGACACAATAATTCATTCTAATTGAGTTCGAATATTCACACTTGGCGTAGCTGTCTATTAGGTGAATGCCTTGATGGAGTTCAAAGATGAGAATTTTCGGCTTAGGGTAAGCAGAGATAAGCAATTTGATTGGTTGATGCTTTGGGACACGATAACTTTAGTTCTGATTAAGTGAGAGTGATGAAACTTGGTGTATAGTTTCATTACATCAATACCTTGACTAAGTTCGAACATTTTCTGCACGGGGTAAGCAGAGCGATAAGCAGTTAGATTGGCCGAGACTTTGGAACACAATAACTCTCCTTCTAATTGAGCTAGAATGTTCAAACTTAGTGTAGGTGTTTATTAGGTCAATGCCTTGATGGAGTTCGAAGATGAGCATTTTCTGCTTAGGGTAAGGAAAGATAAGCAATTTGATTGGTTGATGCTTTGGGACATGATAACTTTAGTTCTAATTAAGTGAGAGTGAGGACATTTGGTGTATTGCTTTATTACATCAATACCTTGACTAAGTTTGATGATGAAAATATTCTGCTGAGGGTAAGCAGAGCGATAAGCAATTTGATTGGTGGAGACTTTGGAACACAATAACTCTCGTTCTAATTGAGGTAGAATGTTCAAACTTGGTGTAGGCGTTCATTAGGTGAATTCCTTGATGGAGTTCGATGATGAACATTGTCTGCTTACGGTAAGCAGAGATAAGCAATTTGAATATTTGATTGGTTGATGCTTTGGGACACGATAACTTTGGTTATAATGAAGTGAGAGCGATGAAACTCGGAATATAGATTCATTATATCATTACCTTGACTAAGTTCGATGGTGAGAATTTTCTGCTTAGGCTAAGGAGCGATAAGCAATTTGATTGGTCAAGACTTTGGAACATAACAACTCTGCTTTTAATTGAGGTATAATGGTTAAACTTGATGTAGATGTTCATTAGGTGAATGTCTTGACTGAGTTCAATGATTAACATTTCGAGCTGAAGCTAAGCAGAACTAATCAATTTTATTGGTCGATGCTTTGGGACAAGATAATCTTGATTTCTATCTGGTAGAGAGGGATGAAACTTAGTGTACAGTTTGATTGCTCGATACTTTTGAAAAAAATAAGTGTGTGATTAATGAATATGTGTCATCTATTTATTTTGGGATTTCGGCAGGGGACATAAGTCTCACTGTTGGCTTGTTTGATTATAGGCACTAATATTGAGATCAGCTGTAATAAAAAATCAGATACATGTTAAGGTTTGTATAATTCCACTTTTTATTGTTTAATGTTTTAACTTCCGTCCATATATGTTTTATCTTGGCATATTCTTGCTGCCAACCCTAGTTGGTGGGGGTATTTTTGTTTTCTGACAACACATATAGTATATGGAATGCCAAGTTTCACTACTCTGTGGGTGTCGGGGTAGTTAAGCTGTATGTTTGAATTATGGCATGGGCTGAGAAGAACTTCAGGATTTTTCAAACGCTGTCATCACTTATCAGGGATGATGGCTGACAAGGAAAGTACCAAGGTCCACCCATATACATATTGGTGTGTATGTAAAACAACCCTTCACATAAACATGGAACTAAAAATGATTATATTTTTGTCTCAAAATGACCAGAGTATTGTTGAGACATTAAACCTCATGCAATTCACTGAATCTAAATCTAAATAAGCTTTAGGAAAATACCTATCATTGTAAATTGACTATTTCTCATTGTAAGAGAGGTAGTGAGCATAGAACCGACTCCTACAAATCATCAAGTCACTATATCCATGGGCGAAAGTGGGGGGGGGGGATAAGGCCATATAAAAAAAAAAATTCTTTCTCAAATAAAGAGTCACATTAATTACTGTGCATCCATTTTTTCCCTTGGTTACAGGAAATACCTCGATAAAACATATCTGATTGAAACCAGAAATGTACCATAGGCTCAGTTATCACTACACAACACTGATAAATGTTATTGACTACCATAGAGCATGATGAGATAAATGTGATATTTATAAAAAGTCATTTAGCCAAGTGGTGATCCTTTGACAAAATAAAAACAACAAGAAAGTAAAAACTACCTCCCCACATTAGATTATTGAAAGGATTGACTGAGAACAGCAGTATTTTATTTGAATGGCCTGATGTGCTATAAGATCTATGTTTAAGAGAGTTTAATATGTTTTAGAGTCCACCACGTGATGGAGGTCAGGGAGGTGAGATGTCTATAGCACCAGGTACAGCCAGCTCAGCTAGGAACTGAAATAACTGTAGAAAGAAAAGGTTCAAGATTCATATCTTAGGGGTTGTCTGTGATATAATATGGCATCCAGAAGTGCTTACTGACTTGATTCAAAGGACGTTGAAATATAAACGCCAAACTATAGACAAGTATTTTACATGAATTCTGGATAGTGAAGTGAAACGATGTCATTGCCACCATTCAGAGTCGTTTTGCATCTGATTGTTGCTTGTAATCCGTGTGATTTTAAACTCAATTGTTATTTAAAATTTGTAGATAAAAGATATATATATTATATATTTGTAATGGAAAACTAGGATATAGTGACAACTAAGTTGTTTGAAAAGTTTCTTTATTAAATTGAAGTAACGTTGATGGATCAAATGTAGAAATTATAAACACATTTGAAGTACAATATTGAATTTGATAATAGATCTCATGACTCTGTAATTTGTTAATATTATGTTTGATCAATAATTTAATAACAAATATCATTCTCTCTTATAACAAATGTATAAAAAAAATTCTACATAATAATCTGAGGATTCCTGTGGCAGAAGTAAATCATGTATTTCCTGCATTATATATATATGTAAAATTAGAAACAAACAAAAAACTAAATCACACAGAATGGCAGTCTAAACAATTACTGTATTATTCAATCTACCTGTGGAACTTATAAACATTTTACATTTATAACATTCATAAACCCTGTTGTTCCGTGGTCACAAATTTGTTGAAGATCTAGAGGCTAAAGTTATCCAGTTAACTTGAAATTTCAAGGTAGTGTTTCTGTTCATGAGATAATGAAGTTTTTAGATTTTCTCCTAATTGTGAAAAGTAGTTATTAAATATTGTAAAATCTTGTAGAAGCTCTATAGGTTAAAGTTAGGCGTCGGGAAGAAGCATGTAGAATTATATTGATGTCTGTTTTGGCCACTTACAGACTGCTGGGACGTACTGTGTTTTCTTGCCTCACAACTTATCATAAAGTGTCAGTAATGAAATATCAGTAACACTAAATTACAGGTTTTATTTTTACCTCTTTAACAAATAAAATAAAACCCAAGATTTATTCAACTGACAACTAGATATGCAGGATGACTTCAAGAATAGTATGAATGTACTTTATCCAACTATCAAGTGTAAAGATATCAAAGTTTCAGAATAGATTCAGGAGCAGTAGAACATCAGTACCAAGGGCATACTCTTTTTGTTGTCCCCCACCTTTCGAAGAAAGCAGGGGATTATTAAAATGGGTTTGTCTATCCGTCACACTTTTTGGGACACAATAACTCTTTCCAATTGAGCTAGAATGTTCAAACTTGGTGTAGGGGTTTATTAGGTCAGTGCATTGATGGAGTTCGAAGATGAGAACTTTCTGCTTAGGGTAAGCAGAGATAAGCAATTTGATTGGTTGATGCTTTGGACACGATACTTTAGTTCTAATTAAGTGAGAGTGATGAAACTGGGCGTATAGTTTCATTACATCAATACCTTGACTAAGTTCAATAATGAGCCTTTTCTGCTCAGTGTAAGCAGAGCGATAAGCAATTTGATTGGCCACGACTTTGTAATTCAATATCTCTCCTAATTGAGCTAGAATGTTCAAACTTGGTGTAGGTGTTTATTAAGTGAATGCCTTGATGGAGTTCGAAGATGAGCATTTTAGTTCTAATTAAGTGAGAGTGAGGACACTTGGTGTATAGTTTTATCACTTCAATAACTTGACTAAGTTCATAATAAGCATTTTCTGCTTAGGGTAAGCAGAGTGATAAGCAATTTGTTTGGTCGAGACTTTGAAACATGATAATTCTCCTTCTTATTGAGGTAGAATTTTCAAACTTGGTGTAGGCGTTTATTAGGTGAATATCTTAATGGAGTTCGATGATAAACATTGTCTGCTTACGGTAAGCAGAGATAAGCAATCTGATTGGTTTTAATTAAATGAGAGTGATGAAACTCTGAGTATAGATTCATTATATCATTACCTTGACTAAGTTTGATGATGAGAATTTTCTGCTTAGGCTAAGGATTGATAAGCATTTTGATTGGTCAAGACTTTGGAACATAACAACTCTGCTTTTAATTGAGGTAGAATGTTTAAACTTGATGTAGATGTTCATTAGGTGAATGTCTTGACTGAGTTCAATGATTAACATTTGAGCTAAAGCTAAGCAGAGCTAAGCAATTTCATTGGTCGATGCTTTGGGACAAGATAACTTTGATTCTATCTGATGAAACTTGGTGTATAGGTGATAATCTGTTTGATTGCTTGATACTTTTGAAAAAAATAAATGTGCGATAAATGTGTCATCTATTTATTTTGAGATTTAGGTGGGGGACATCAGCCTCACTGTTGGCTTGTTGGTTAAAGATGGACTGAAATGACAAATACACACTTCTCATGAATAAGATCCATCAATTTTGATTTCGTCCTGAAAAAGCTCAGATTTGTGTTATTCACCAAAACAAAACAAAAGTTGAGATAAATTTGAGAATGTTTTTATGGTGCATATTTTAAATAAGATCTAATTTGTATGCAAAGTCAAATTAGTTTTGGTGTTAAATTAAAAAAAAAAAAAACTTGTGTATCATTTACATTGCCTCATTTTAGAGTAAATGTTGTAGTTTCACATGTTATAATTTTTTAAATGTCAAGCTTAGATTATATCGTCACAACTTAAAAAGTCACATCTTACAGAAGTTATGTAATTGTATTTTAAATGAGATATGACATAATGAATTCTTTCTCTTGTTCACTTTTCAGTCCAAAGAATTTTTACTTCAAAGCCAATATTTTTCATTTCTATGTTAAATGTATATGTGAAACATTGTATATATTAACCCGAACAAAATGATTCTAGCTTTTCTAACTGTTTCAGCAGAAAAGTATGGTTTGTAATTCCTTGTTGATATAAAATAATTACAATACTTTAATTATGCCATTCTTATGTATTGGTTGTCTACAGGGTTGTTGAATTTAGGGGCATAGTTTGTGTCGAGTGGAGGGGGATCACGTGGCTAAGTGGGTAAGACGCTGGCTCGCTAGCCTGGAGATGGGTGTTCGATCCCTGCATTGGCCGAGAAAGTTCATTCATTTCCCCTTGTCAATGATGCAGAATGGAGGGCCTGACAAGGACAGCTGTCTAGTCATTCGGATGGGACGAAAAACTGAGGTCCCGTGTACACATTGGCGTGCACGTTAAAGATCCGTTGGGATTCGATATAAGAGTAGGCTGTAGCGTCGCTGCCCAGGCAAAATTTCCCTCATATCCCACTGTATGGCGTATGCCCGTCTTCATTAGCCCAGCTTAGGAGCAGAACAGTAGGACGTTAAACCCCATTCCATTTCATTTCATTTTTGTGTCGAGTGGAGTTAAACCCCCGTCTCTCTTTCTCTCTGTAACCTCACTGCCACCCCCCCCCCCCCCAAACTTTAAAGGGGAATTATTGGAAATTAAATAAAAAGTTGACAGTTCTTGCTATAATAGTCAAAAAATAGATAACATAAATAGAATATGCTGCAAATTTAAGTCAAATTGCTCAACTCTGAACCAAGATATTGGCTTTTGAATTATAGGCTAGTCTTCGATCATCATCATTACTAAAGTTGATACAATAAAAACAAAGTCTCCTTGTCTCTATGTGTGGGTCGCTTAAAGGGTGCAATTCTTAATGGATTGTCTTGAATCTTTGGATACTTATTCCTTATACCCTAAGGATGATCCCTACTGTTTCTGGTGCATGCCCGACCCTCAGGGTCAGAGCCACGCCCAATTTTTTGTATTTGTGGATTATCTTGAAACTTTGCGTACTAATTCCTTATACCCTAAGGATCATCCCTATTGTTTGTGGTGTATGCCCAACCCCCAGGGACAGAGCCAAACCCATTTTTTGTATTTGTCATCTACAGGATGCATTTCTTCATGGATCATCTTGAAAATTTTTCATACTTATTCCTTATACTTTAAGGATGACCTCTATTTTTTCTCGGTGCATGCCTGACCCCCCTGAGACAGCCATGCCCAATTTGTGTATCTGTGTGTCGCCTACTTTTGAAAGTTTGCAAACCTATTCTCTATACCCTAAGGTAGATTCCTATTGCTTTTGTTGAATGCCACACCCATTTTTATACAACATTCATAATTTTGAGGTATTATGCTGTCGCCCCTCTGTGGGTCACCTACAGGGCGCAATTCTTAATGAATTTATACATTATACCCTAAGGATGATCCCTATTGTTTTTGGTGGATGCCCAACCCCCAGGGGCAGAGCCACGCCCATTTTTTTGTATTTGGTTGTCATCTAAAATCATCTTGAAACCTTGCATACTTATTCCTTATACCCCAAGGTTCACCCCTATAGTTTTTTGGTGCATCTGAAACCCCAATGGGGCAGTGCCATTCCTATTTTTTCTTTGTGTGTCGTCTGCAGGACGTAATTCTTAATGAATCGTCATGAAAACTTTTCATACTTATTCCTTATACCCTAAGGATGACCTCTTTTATTTTGGTGCATGCTCAATCCCCTGGGGCACAGCCACACTCAATTTTTGTGTGTCGCCTACAGGCCGCAATTCTTAACACATTATGTTTGAAACTTTACATATCTATTCCTTATACCCTAAGGATGATCCCTATTGTGTTTGCTGAATGCCCGAGACCCAGGGGCTGAGTCACACCCAGTTTTTCTTTGTGTGTCTGTGTTTTGCCTACAGGCCACAATTCTTAATGGATAATCTTGGAACTTGGTATATTTATTCCTTATAGCCTAAGGACGACAACTATAGATTTTGGTGCTTGTCCCATATCCTAGGGGCAGAGCCACACCGACTTTTTGTTTTTATCGTATACTGGCCACAATTCTGAATGGATCATCTTCAAATTTGGCATATATATTCCTTATAGCCTAAGGGGGGCCACGCCCAATTTTTATGTTTAGTGTCTGACACCCACAATTCTGAATGGATTATCTTGGAACTTGGTATACTTATTCCTTATACCACAAGGATGGCGACAATTGATTTTGGTTCCTGATCCAACCCACAGGGGTGTGGTACCATACCCACTTTTTTTGTTAATTTTTTGTCTGTAAATACTCTACAGGCTGCAATTATTAACAAATTTTGTTCAAATTCGGCATATCAATCATTTCAATAACAGGGTTGTACATATTTATTTTGTTACACATATATCCAATGATTCCAATCCCCAGAGGCAGAGCCAAGTCCAATTTTTGTGTTTAACATCCACGGGCTGCAATTCTGAATGGATCCTCTTGGAACTTTGCATATTTATTACTTATACCGGTACCACAAAATCGGCAACTATTTATTTTGGTGCATGCCCCGACCCTCTGGGGTGGTGTCACACCCACTTTTTGATAATATTTAGTCTGTAAATTTGCAAAACAGACCCAAGGTCTAGCCTTCTTTGCATTTTGTCCTATAGTCATTACAGCCATTTCATATTAAAAAGTACCATATCAATCAAAGCAGGAATGTGGACGTATATTGCAGCTCTAGTGGTATATTGATTTTGGTGCATGTCCCGACCCCCAGGGGCAGAGCCACACCCAATTTTTATGTTTATCATATACAGGCCGCAATTTTGAATGGATCATCTTCAAATTTGGCATATATATATTCCTTATAGCCTAATTACGGTAACTATTGATTTTGGTGCATTCCCCGACACCCAGGGGCAGAGCCGCAGCGATATTTTTTGTTTAGCATCTGAAGGCCACAATTCTGAATGGATTATCTTTCAGCTTGGTATACTTATTCCTTATACCCTCAGGACGGCCGGCAACTTGATTTTGATGCATGATCCGCCCCGCTTGTGCGGTGCCACACCCACTTTTTGTTAATATTTTGTCTGTAAATATCTACAGGTTGCAAGATTTGGATCCAATTCAGCATGATCCATCATAGATAGGGTTGTACCTACTTATATTGTTCCATATCCAACCCCCATGGGCTAAGCCATGCCCAAATTTTGTGTTGATCGTCTACAGGCTGCAATTCTAAATGTATCATCTTGGAACTTTGCATATTTATACTGTAAAGACAACAATTTTTATTTTGGTGCATGCCCCCACCCCCAGGAATGTGGATGCATATTGCAGCGGTACCTACGATCTCCTTCACAAAATGTATTGCAATCCGCTAAATATCGCAGACTAGCGATGGCTTCGAGAGTTGTTTATGGTCTGGATAAGTTAATTAATGGCTAATTAATAATTTAGATAACATTTCAGGCCTAAAGAAAGACCTGCAATAGGCAGATTTAGCTCTTTCATAATGTATGTTTAAGTATTCGACTTGGGATGGCACTCAGGGTTACAGATATGCTTAAAATGGGTTAGCTGTTTCACTGAAATAGGGCCTGCTCATCAAGGGTGGATTCTTAACCTTGAGTGTATGTGGTCATTTGCAGTTTTTGGACAATATCTAATTTTCATGGCTTAATTCATGCTAAAATGTACTCAAATTGATTATTTAACTATCTGATAGATAATCACCGAGCTTGGATTCTGTCAGATTTATAAAAGGGCTATAAGGTTGCGCTGGCTGTTGACTGAATTGAATTTATTGTTGGACCCCTTAGATTCAACTGTCAATATTGTAATTTGCAAGAAATTGACAATCTCTTTATTAAGAATGTTGATGTCAAAACTCATTTTACTATGGACCCAAATCAAAGAGATCAAGCCATTTTCATTAACAAATTTGAATCTTCATCTCATAAAACTTGAAGTGTGACAGTTAATGTTATTGCAAGGAATTGAAATTCTAGTTAACATTGATGTTTTGTTGCTTCTGCCGCTCTGGTCTCAGACTAGCAATTATTTTCCTGTTGACTTCAATGTTAAATTGCTGTAACATCACAGACTGTAGCTTTTTGCTCAACATTCCGTTGGTTCCAATCTTTATAGGCACAATGGGGACCACATTTGGCAATCTCCTCATCATAATTTTGTAGGGGGTTGACCGTTTTGATTTTTTGCTATGGGAACTTGATGTTGACTAGGGTGAACATCTCACTTCGGACACAATGATTGTGCTGCAGAAAGACACTTTACACCCCCTATCCCTCCGCTGTAATATCATCAGTATTACCCAAAACTGCTATGAAATTGCAAATTTGATCCCTTTTCTCAAATTCTACACCAAAAATCAACCAAATAATGCAGGAAGAGGGGAGAGAAAAAATTAAGGGAAAAAATGTTTATATTTCACACTACATCAAGAATTTAAGGGAATTATAAACCTGTAACGGTAAATCTCTTTGAACTTTGGGGTATATTCTATGCCCAGAATAACTTGCGGCCTGAAAGTCAGGGGAGGTTTTGGATATATACAGGGAAATTTGGGGTTATTCTACTGAAAGATTTTCTTTAAACAGGTAACAGGTTATTCTTCCAGACAGAGGAACAAATGGTCATGTTTTTGCACTTAAATTTGTATGAAGTTGACCACCAAAATTTTGAGGTACACAAACTTGAAGAAGTATACTACAAACATGTACATGTAACTACATGTAGTTGCCGTACATCCGTAGCCAACCTGATAACCCCCGTTATCCTTCCGCCTCAAAATCATGAATATTTACCAAAACCTGGCAGAAAATGTTAATTCAAACCCTATTTGTCCATTCTAGACCAAAAAATCAACAAAAATGGGCATGCAAAAGGGGGGAAAAGAGACAGAGAGAGAATTCCTATAAATAGACGAACTACGGTCTGCCTCCCTCTGCAAGATTATGGATTATCTCCCTTTGGCATGAAAACTAAAAGCATCACCTTTACAATTTTCTGAGAATTGGCCATCTGTGGAATGGCCTAGTGGTCTAGAGTGCTGGCCGGTCACCTCTGGCTTGTGGCTGTGGTTTCAATCCCTGGTGTTAGCGTATGTGCCTTGGAGATAGGGGTGCCTT